CCCCGACCGCAGATGAGATTATGAAAAAAGATCTGCTAGGATACACTAGAAGAATTAAGGTTAGTGTTTTACTTGATAAAAAAAAAGAAGACAAAGAAGTGCAAATTAATGACTTAGAGATATGATTTTGTAAATGAGTCGACGGTCACTCGGAGGTGTAGCCCATTGGCATATAGTTAACTAAGGAGGTCATACCAGTCGTCGGAAAACAAATACCTTTCATTCGAATCCATTCTAATAATTTGTATAATTTTAGGCTTCCAATGAGAAGTTCTTACTACCTCCGGTTCGACCTTCAGACGCCAATAAAAAGTGCCTTATCATCGACCTCGATGAGACGCTGGTCCATTCCTCCTTTAAAGTAAGCCAAAACCGCTTGATAGTGTACATTCAAACGAGTCTTGTTGTTTTAGCCGGTGAAAAATCCGGACTTTGTGATTCCGGTAGAGATCGACGGTATCGTGCATCAGGTGTATGTTTTGAAGCGGCCATATGTAGACGAATTCCTTGCCAGGATCGGGGATCGCTACGAATGTGTGCTGTTCACGGCTAGTTTGGCCAAGGTAAGACTATGTTTAGTAGTGTTGTAAACTTTGCTTAGAAACTTGGGTTACTACATCATGATAAAATCTAGTGCAGTTAAACTACTTATCAATAAATTTGCATATAATTATTCAAAAATGCCGTTACGTTTTTAGTACGCCGATCCGGTCGCCGACCTACTCGACAAGCGTGGTGTATTCCGATCTCGATTGTTTAGGGAGGCTTGTGTGTATCACAAAGGAAATTATGTGAAGGTTTGCATACGCTTCAGCTAATATTGACTTTTCATAAATCTACGCAATTTAGGACCTTGCTAGACTTGGTAGAGATCTGACAAAAGTCTTGATTATCGATAATTCACCTGCCAGTTACGCGTTTCATCCAGAAAATGCGGTGAGTTCGCGTAATTAAAGAAAATTAAGGATTTATGTTTTAACAGTTTTGAGAACAGAAAATAGGAGGGATTGTGGGTTCAATGAGTGAATAAATCTCAGAAAATTCACTGATTTTATGTAAATTGATTTGAGGTTTGTTGTGAAAGAGTTTTGTAGTCATATCTCACTTGGAGTTGGAAAACAATCAATTATTGGATCTTGGAATTTTAGCACTGATGCTATGCCACATTATTGTGTATACAATACTGCGAAAGTTTGGAAATTCAGCTCTTATTCAAACATTTTCAGATTCCCGTTCCAACGTGGTGGGACGATCCATCCGACGTTGAATTGTTAGACATTCTGCCACTATTGGAACGGCTTGAGAAGGCTGAGTCAATATACGAAGTGCTGAAACACGATGATGCGCTGTCAGAACCGTTGTTGGAGCGAACGCAATGACGTCCGTTCAATGCCGCTTGATATCTGCCTCTTCCTTCTGTGATCTATCGCTCTCGTCCAGTCTTCCTCCGTTGAACCCGGTTGGTACCGATTCGTACCGCTCCCTCTCACCTCCCAATCTCGCAGAGCGATTGCCTTATCCGTTGCCTTTGCGAGCCGCTTCCGAAGGCGATGCGACGACGACGTCGACCCTTCGAGCAGACGACGTCGCGCTGTTGCCTCGATTCTGCGGCGAGCGCACCTATTCGCATTCGATGCGTTATACGTGTTGTATATAGCCCAGATGCGTGCAGAGTTTTCTTATATATAAATGTATGTATATGTTTATCATAGCTATCGAATAGTTCATTTGATTCTTGGCTGTGATGCCGCTTGTTAATCAAAGTACACATTTAGTGCCTTGAGAAAGATTCAAGTAATCAACTATATATCATGTTTATACATTGACACCCCTCCCTTCCCCGTAGAACTCATTGTCTCTACCGTCTCTTTTAATCAAATCAGAGTTCTTTTTACAGTTGCTTAACTCAATTCCCTTTCAATCCACAACTCATGCATACTGTTATAGATTGTCGATCCCCCGATGAAACTAAAGAGAGTCATATGACAAGGTGTGCGTATACCGGTGTCAAAATAATACGTACTTGTTGTTTGATTGTGAATGAATGATTATGAATCTTGTCACATCTACCAATTTCAAAATTTAAGCCGCTTTTATAAGATTTTATGCATTTTAGAAAAAAACTTTAAGGGAAAAAATGGTCTGCAGGTTTTTTATAAATCACGCAAATATATCATAAAATAGAGTCCAACAAATAGAAGATTGCACAGTGACTTGCGTTTTCTGAATTGTTGCCCACTCTTCAAACGATATTTTGTTGATACGATGAGTAATAAGAAATGAGCAACTTCCTCAATGAGCTGCCGTCTCTTCGACCGCAAAGATTCAGAAAAAAAACAAATTTTTCCTTTATATTTTTGTGAGGAACTAAGATAATAACACGCTCTATTTTACATGTCATTGAACTCCGTTAAATGA